AGAAAGGGAGAAAATGTGGAACCCAGTTTTAAAACCAAATGTTAAAAACTGTTTCTACATGCAACTGGGAAATAAGGTACACAGGCAATGGGGTATGGAAAACTATCCTGCCCTACAGGAAAATAGAAGGGAAAGGGAATGAGAAGGAGGGGGTGATAGAAGGAAGGGCAGATTAGGGGAAGCAGTACTCAGAATGCACGCCGTCTTGGGGTGGGAGGAAGGATGAGATGGGGAGAAAATTTGGAACTCAAAATCTTGTGGAAGTGAATGTTGAAAACTAAAAATAATTAAAGTATAGGAATGAAAAGTTTCACTAAAATGATAAGTAACATCTATCTAAAACAAAGAGCAAGCATTATCTATAAGGATAAGCTAGAATCCTTTCCTACAAGATCAAGGATGAAGCAAGGATGTCCAGTATCAAGATTATTATTCAATGTTGTACTAGAAATGCTAGCTGTAGGACAAGAAAAAAAGAAACTTATTCCTAAAGTATAAGCAACAATGAAACAAAACTCACTTCTTGCAGACATTATGATAAAACTAAAAAACTAAACAACTAAAAAACTAACTGAAACCATTAACTTCAGCAAAGGTGCACGACATAAAATAAACTTAAGACAAATAATTAGCATTTCTTTGTTACCAACAAAATCCAGCAGGAAGAACTAGAAAGAGAAATTTCATTCAAAATAACTACAAACAGTATAAAATATTTGGGAATCTACTTGCCAAGACACACACAATAACTATTTGAATCCAATTACGAAACACAAAGATCTAAATTATTAGAGAAATAAATTGCTCATGAGTAGACCAAGCCAATATAATAAAAATTACAATATTACCTAAATTAATTTACTTATTCAGTGCCCATGCCATACCAAACTACCAAAGAGTTATTTTAGAGAACTAGAAATAAATAACAAAATTCATCTGGAAAAACAAAAGGTTAAAAATATCAAGGGAGGGGCAGCCCTGAGGCCTGGGAGGACCTGAGTTCAAATGTGTCCTCAGACCAAACACTTGACACTTACTAGATGTGTGACCCTGGCCAAGTCACTTAACCCAGTTGCTTAAAAAATAATTTAAAAAAAAAAATGAAGGGAATCAATGGAAAAAAAAACCAATAGGAAGGAAAGGGTTGGCCTGGCAGTATCAGATCTCAAATTATGTGACAAAGCTATAATCATCAAAACAATTTGGTCCTAGCTAAGAAATACAGCAGTTGATCCATGGAACAGATTAGGTATACAACGTACAAAAGCAAATATGCACAGTAATCTAGTGTCTGATATACCCAAAGATCCTGGCCAATAGAGCAATAACTCACTAGTGACAAAAACTATTGAGAAAATTGGAAAAATCTGGCAGAAACTAGGCAAAGACCAATTATCTCACACTGTATTCCACACTAAACTCAAAATGGATGCATGATTTAAACATAAAATGTGACATCATAAGCAAATCAGTGGAAAAGGGAAAAAATTACCCGTCAGATTTTAGATAGAGGAAGAGCTCATGATGACCAAATAAGAGAGATGATTACAGGGAGTAAAATGGGTAATTTTGGTTATAAAAAACTAAAAGGCTTTTTTAACAAAATCAATGCAGGTAAAATTATAAGAAAAACAAGAAACGAGTTCCTTTGCAGCACCTTTCTCTGCATTTCAAATATATATAGGGAACTGACTAAAATCAACAATAAAAGCCAAATGATTATAAATGGCCAAACACAAGCTTTGATTTCTTCTGAAAACTACCTATGATAGCCACATGAAAAAATGCTCCAAATCAAACATAATTAAACAAAAATTTACAACTCTGAAGTACTGCTTCACACCTATCACATTGGGTAAGATGATGAAAAAGGAAAATAACAAATGCCAGAGGGAATATTGGAAAACAGGTACACTAAATGCAAGGCTTCTTAAAACTTTTTCAACTAGAGACCCCTTTTCAGGGTTCAGCTGCATTTGTTGGTGCTGCATGGCCTGAGAGTATGTGCAGTAAAAAGTGTGCATGATTTGTCTTCAGAACCAAGACTGCAATGAAGTTGAGCTGCCAGAAACAGGTTGGATTCATTATGTGTTTGATTTTTAATTAATTTTTGGCTGTTGTGCATTCGGAAACCTTTTATCATTGCCAAATTTCTTATGACCCCATATGGGGTCCTGGACCCACAGTTTAAGAAGAGCTGCACTGTTAGTGGAGCTGTGAACTAATCCAACTATTCCAGAAAGCAACTTGGAATTATACCTGAAAGGCTATTAAAGTGCATAAGCTCTGGAGACCCAGGCTCACTGCTACTAGAGCCATATCACAAAAATAAAAGGACATATATGTACAAAAATATTTATAGTAGCTCTTTTTGAGGTGCGAAGAATTGGAAACTGAGGGGATGCCCCAAAACTGAGCAACAGTTACTTATTGTATATCAATGTGACAGAATACTGTTATGCTGTAAGAAATAATGAAGGGGGATGGTTTCAAAAAAACCTGGAAGACCTGTATGAACTAATGTAAAATAAAGTGAGCTAAACCAGGACAATAATCTACACTACAACAACAATATTGTAAAGATAATCAGTTTTGAAAGACTTTGTAAATCGGACCAAAACAATGACCCACCACTGTTCCCAAGGATTCATGATGAAAATGCTGTCCAACCCTAGACAGAAAACTGATGGACTCAGAGTGCAGACTGAAACCCATCCCCCACCTTTTTCTTGTTTCCCCCTCCAATCCCCATCACCACCTCCAAACATGGTTAATGCAAAATTGTTTTGTATGACTTCATATTTGTAATGGGTTTTGTTTTTTTTGGGGGGGCCTTCTCTTGGGGAGAGGGAAAGGAGAGAATTTGAAATAGGAAAAAAAAAGAATAAAAGTCTCTGTGCCTTAAAAATAAATAAGAACCACCCACTCAAATAAAATTTCAATGTAAATACATTTAAGATATATAATTCCCTGAATTAGAAAGGCATAAAGAACCTGACTCCAGATCAAAACCCTACTAGACTAAGCTCTGTGGGAAACTGGGGCAGTGTTCTTATCCTTTGTTATTCCTTTATAGTACCTACAAAAGCTGTCTGATAAAATGTTATAATTCATGTAACAATGGTGTTTTTGTGGGCTATTATATATCTAGACTACTTGCCTCTATACAAGTGACTTACTTTTCTGTCCAGTTTATTGTACTATTACCTCACTGCCCACCTTCACTGTTCCTATTTATGAATCCACCTAGTCAAATCTTTTATAATTTACTACTACTACTAGAAAAAAAAAACAAAAACAATCTGTGCTACTTTACATTGAGTATTTCACTTTCTATTTGCTGATAAAAGCATTCTTCAATCAGCATAGTGCAGTGCAGAGAGTGCTGGATTTGGTTGTTGGGAAAACCTGGATCCAAATCCTAACTCTGACACTGGCTAAGTGACCTTGAACAAATCACTTAGCTTCATGGTTCATTAGGCAATTTCTATAAGGCTCTTTGTTGCAGAGAAGGTGCTGACTTTTAATCTATATCCTCATCTAGGATTTCTCTATATTCATTATAGGTCCAGTTCCTAACCCCATCCCTACTTCTAAGGCTGTCAATGCCCACTTCAGAGAAACAAATGCCTCAGTTTATTTTCAACTTTACTCACTACAAATACACTAAAAGTACACTAAATCAAACTCCCAGAAATTTTACCAGTTTACTTGTAAAAGTTTACTTTGACCAATTTAAAATTAAAATTGAAAAAAATCTTTAAAATCACCAAGTCTAGTGGTCCAGACTGACCACTTCTCAGCAATTCCAAATTTAATACAAAACTTTTCGAAGTCAAACAAAATGATTTTTTCTCCTACCTATGTTCTATTTCCATGCCTTACACCAAGCTAAGGCAGTCATCCAAACCAGATTAACTAATTTTAATCCTGCCCACTGCAAGAAACCACTTCTACAACATGTCTGATAGTCGCCTAGCATCTGTTCCTGGGATACTTAGGGAAGGAAATTTCACAACTTTGCAAACCAGGCTGTACCACTGTTAAATAACTCTATTAAAATAAAGTACTGCTGTTAATGATGGTGTAAAAAAGTGGCTAGTCAGTAAAACAAAACATTCAAACCCCAGAGAGTTTTTTTTTTTAAGGAGCTGAAGGTGGGGAAACCCCAGCTTCCTCTCTTTGGTTAAGAAAATCAAATGCATTGTTGGTAGAGTAGTGAACTGGTCCAACCATTCTGGAGAGCAATTTGGAACTATGCACAAAGGGCTATAAAACTGTGCATACTATACTCTTTGACCCAGCAATACCACTTCTAGGTCTGTATCCCAAAGAGATCAAACAAATGGGAAAAGGACCCACATGCACAAAAATATTTATAACAGCTCTTTCTGCGAGAGCAAAGAATTGGAAATTGAAGGGATGCCCATCAGTTGGTGAATGGCTGAACAAGTTGTGGTATATGAATGTAATGGAATACTACTGTGCTATAAGAAATAATGAAGCAGGTGGACTTCAGAAAAACCTGGAAAGACTTGTATGGACTGATGTTGAGTAAAGTGAGCAGAACCAGGAGATTGTCATACACAGTAACAAGCCACACTGTGTGACGACTAACTTTGAGACTTAACTCTTCTTAGGATCTAAGACAACTCCAAAGACTCATGTTGAAAAATGCTATCCACATCCAAAGAAAGATCTACGGAGTCTGAATGCAGATCAAAGCTTATTATTTGCTGTCTTTTTTTTTGTTTCTTCTTTCTCATGGTTTCTCCCATTGGTTCTAATTCTTCTTTAGAACATGAACATGACTAATGTGAAAACAGGTTTAATATGAATGTATACGTTAAGCCTATATCAATTTACATGCCGTCTTGGGGTGGGGAGAGGAGAGAGATGGGGAGAAAATGTGGAACTCAAAATCTTGTGGAGGTGAATGCTGAAAACTAAAATTTAGTAAATTTATTTAAAAAAAAAAATCAAGTTTTGACTACACTCACCTGGAGAAGCTGGTCCACTGAGGAGAAATGCATGTGGCTGTGAATCAGAAGAACAGCAAGGATCTGTCTGTTGGAAGCTAGTTTCTAAATGTCTTCTCTTTTGCATACGTTTATACTCTTGTTTTATGTTGTACAGAATTTGTTCTAAAAATAAAACATTTTACAAGGTTAAAAATTAAGCAAGAAAGCACACACACAAATTCTGATCAGATTTCTAAGTTGTCTCCTCAATGTCAATGTCATTATCCTAAAGCATAAACACTACTTTAACAAAGATTTTCCTCCAAACCACCCAAAGGTGTGACATTCAAAGCTAAAGTCATTGTTTATTCTTAAGTCTAAAGACAATTGGCATAAATGAGTATGAACTAGCAACATACAGATATAATACCCTGCAAACAGCATGGTACAATGGAATGAAACACTGATTCTAAAGTCAGAAAACCAGAGTTCAAATACTGCCTGCTTCTTTCTACATGTTTAACCTTGAATAATTTGGAAATTTCTCTGGGCCTAAAGTCTCCTTTGTGAAAGTGGCGGTGGCAAAGGGTTCCCTTCCAGTTCTAGATCCATAATACTATCATTACCTATTTGGGACTTGACTAGGTGGCAAAGTGGATAGAGCACTGGACCTGGAGTTAGTAAGACCTAAGTTTAAAGGCAGCTTCAGATACTTACAAAGCTGTGTGACCCTGGGCAAGTCACTTATTTTCTCAATCTGTCTAAATTCTCTCACCTCTAAAATGAGGATAACAACAGCACCTACCTCCCAGGTTTTTTGTGAGGATCACAGGAGATAATATTTGTAAAGTGCTTATTTAGCACAGGGCCTGGCACCTACTAAGTGCTTAAATCAATTAACTTCCTCCCTCCTACAACTTCTACAATTAACTAAAATATGGCCAACAACTGGAGAGTAAACAAGAGTCCTCTAAAAAGACAAAATAGATGCCCCAAAAATAAACTGCCTAGTTAATAAGAATCAACTCATTTATAATTTAATCCTATTTTACACAAAACAAATCTAACAAGCTTACTTATCTGGTTTCCCAAGTCAAGAGGAGATTAGAAAGATCAGTGGGAACTGCCTGTGTGCAAATACAGAACAGTAGTAAGAGGAAGGCTGAGTCTAGTCCAGGAATCCCGTGGGGTCCAGGAGACTCTTTCAGGGGAGTCCATGAAATCAAAACTATTTTAATAATAATACTAATGTGTTTAAGTGTCTAACATAGTACATATAGAGATATAACCCACATAAACAGAAGTTCTTTAGGGAGATCCTCAAGAATTAAGAGTTTAAAGGGGAACCAAAAAGTTTGAGAACCACTAATGTAGAAAACTGGAAAGTGAGTCAAGAAATGTTACATCTAGAACAACTGTGAATGACTTGAGTTATTCTCAGCGATACAATGATCCAAAATAATCTCAAAGGACTCATATGATGAAAAATGCTATATCTGCCTCCAAAGAACTGATGTTGTCTGACAGACACCAAAGCATACACTTTTTCACTTTTTCTTTCTTTGAATTTTCTTGCACAAAATGACTAATATGGAAATGTTTTACATGACTACACATGTATAACCTGTACCAGATTGCTTATCATCTCAGCAAGGGGGGAGAAGAGGGAAAGATAGAATTTAGAACTCAAAACTTAAACAAATCAACAAAAGGCAACAAATTTCAAAAATTATTTTCGCGTGTAATTGGGGGAAAAAATATTATTTGAAAAATGTTACATATAGTCTCAGCCCTGTCTCTAACTAGTTGTGTGACTTGGGGTACGTCATTTTACTTCCCTGGACCTCAATGCTGTAAATATCATAGTTAGGTTTCTTCCAGTCCTAAAATAATTCTAAATAATAATCCTTGTTAAAGCATTTTAACATGCAACATTCCTGAAACCAGCCTTATACAGAGTGACAAACCTATATTTAGTTATTCATGCTGAAATCAGAACTTATCATCCTCCCCCACTTCCTGTCTTCCCTTACTTATGTTTAACTTACATGTTCAACTCTTTATTCTCCCCTCAACTCTCCACCCCAACAGCCAATCAGTTCCCAAGTCTACCTTCAACTCTCTCCAACTCACAGAATTACCACACTAATTGGTATCCTTGCTTCAACTCCATCCCCACAGCTGCCAAATTATGCCATTTATATATTCTTCTAAATCAAGGTTCCTGACATCACTACTCTGGTTCAAAACCATTTAATAATTTCCCAAGATCGCCAGAATCAAAAACAACAACAACAACAACAACAAAAAAAACACCTCTTCAGCTTGACATTTAAAGCCCTTTAAAATCTAGCCCCATCCTACCTCTCCTGACTTCTTCACATTACTACTTTTCTTCTTTGTGGACTGTGTTCTAAACAAATTGGATTACTTCCCTTTCCCCAAAATTTGGTGCTCAGTCTAAATCTCTGAATGCATTTTCTCCTGACTTCTACTTCTTTCAGGCTTAACTTGGGTGCATGTCCTACAGGAAAGCCATTCCTATTCCTAATCCTCCCTAAAGCAGGGGTTCTTAAAATGGCATCTTTAAAATCTTTTTTTTAAAAAATATTTTAGAACTATTAATACATTTGGCGTCCTTGGGCAATCTTACGTATCAGATTCTATAGATTTAAAAACACAAGAGTTTAAAGGGTAGAGGGTACAAGTTCCATGGAAGCTGGGACTGTTGGGTCTTTGTATCCCCCATATCCTATACATAGCTGGTGCTTAATAAAAACTTTGTTGAATTAGATGAATTTGCATGAACACACACTTGTTACCTGTATATTTCAATTCTCATCATAAAGCCTTAATGGTTAGCCCACAAAATGGACTGAATTTCAAGTGATAATCCTGAACAAATACTTAGCAAGCTACGCCATAATGAGCATATAAATTATAATATGAATAATGTTAGTTCTCCTGCAAAATTATGTAGTTCAGTTTAACACTATCTGCCTCAGTTTCCTTATCTGAAATAACACCTACCTTCCAGAGTTGTTGTAAGGATAAAATGAATGTGTGTAATGCACTTTGAAAACATCAAACAGGCTCATGGATGTCAGGTTAACAACTTCTGATTTTCAAGTAACATTTTTGTAATACGAAGGTCTTCGTTCTCTCAAGTTTGCTTAAAGCAGCTACATCAACCGGCTCCCATTTTTCCTCTCCTGTTATAACTATAAGTTCTCTTTCACTCATCTTTTTCTCCCCTGAACCACATGTCTTCTTCTTCCTGTCACTAATAAATATCCTACCTTTGGAAAATCCAACTGAGCAATTCTGTGCAAATAAGAATACAGGAAGAAAAGAAAAATACCCATCTCCCTCTTCTGTTCCCCCACATATTCATTTAGCTCTGCTCTCTAACTAAAACTCCTTTATTGGTAACCAACTCAACTATGTGTCTTAGACCTCTTCTTCCTTACATGCCTTTCAATTTGTGAAATTTCATAATGGAAACCTGGTTTTCTCTTGAGCAGAGGTTCTCAAACATATTGGTCTCAGGACCCCTTTACATTCTTAAATACTGAAGACCTCAAAGAGCTTTTGTTTATGTAGGTTATATTAAAATTTACCAAACTGAAGTTAAAACTAAAATTTAAAAATATACACTGCATACTAACATAATTTTTAATGAAAAATAACTTTTCAAAAAATGTGAATAGTGGCATTGTTTTACACGCCATCTGTTGCAAGTTGAAGTATATGAAAAAAAAATTTAGCCTGATACAGATACTCAATTGGAAAGTGGAGGAATATTTTAACAGGCAAATAACATCTTAGTATTTTGAAAATAGCCTTGACCTCACAGACTCTTTGAAAGGGTCTGAGGACCCCCCCCCAAGAATTGTTCCTACTCTGACACTATTAAGCACATATCCCAAGAATGCCAGTGCTGAAGGAAAAGGATAGGTCATATATAATAAACAAAGTAATCATAGAAGAACTCTCCTGTAACAACAACAAGGAAACAATGGATGTCCACTGATTGGAGAATGAAAATCTTTATATCTTCACTTTAAACCTCTAACACCCTCAAGTAGCTACTACTTTTTATTTTAAATGGAATTTCTCTTCGAATAAATTGTGGCAAGAATGTTAAGAAATGTAAAGGAATTCGGGAAAAACATGGAAAGACTGGTATCAAGTGATGCCAAGTGAAGAGGTAAGAGTATGTACACAATAACTACAATAATGTAAACTAACACTAAAAAGTGGCAGTAAAACTCTGAGGTATAATGAACAATTCCATCCTGGAATACTGATAACGAAAAGACATCAATTTCCTTCTCAATAAAGAAAAGTGGAGACTGATATGGAATGCTTAGATGGCTTTTTTTAAATGCTATTCTTTACAAAGGGTTCAACTGGTGTGTGTGTATGTGACACAGAAAGAGGGAGAGAGAGAGAGAGAGAGGGAGAGAGAGAGAGAGAAAGAGAGAGAGAGAGAGAGAGAGAGAGAGAGAGAGAGAGAGAGAGAGAGAGAGAGAGAGAGAGAAACTGAGGGGAATGAATATAGTATAAACAAAAGGAAATCAATTTTTTAAAAGTATCACTTTGATTCAAAATAAGGATGAAAATTAAAGTTAGGGTTTGCCTTCTCATCAAAGAACTTATCCAAATACATTAAGGTATGCCACAATTTCATACTACCCACTTCTAGGGCGTAGGGGAGGGAACTGAGACAATCGCCGACTCAATCTTAACATTTCCCAGGGAAATGTATTTTATGCAGGTGTTTTGGGTTTTTTTTCCCCAAAATAACCTTTCAACAGAGTTTTTTTGGGTTGTTTTTACTATTACTAGTCTCTTTTATCCAACTTATTTTTGTTTAGATCATTCCTTTGCAACTTAAGTTCTTATTTTATTATCTTAAAAGGTCTCCTAATTACCCCACAAAGAAGGTGGTGCATTCATTCTTCCACAAAAAATTTACCTCTCGTTCAGCATAAACTTTACCTGCTTCATCCTTCACATTCTAACAAGGAATAGAGACTGAACCTGTCGCTTTTTTGGTACAAGGAACTGCTAGATGATAAAACTCTCCCTACCAGTGCAGGTTGGCAACCTTCTTTTTAGGAATGGAAGAATACATATGCCAATTCCTCAAAGAAAAAAATATAAAATATATTATACCT